GCTAATTACTTTATTTAAAATCAATCGTAGCCAAAAAAAAACTTGATTAATGATTTTTTATAGTGTCTCATAATTATGTACCTTTTTACTAAAATTTGTGACTTATATGATAAAGCTGTTTAGGATAAGAAAAAGAGGTGACTCGAGGTATTCACAAGTGGTGCTGGCATTACTTTTGGAAGGTACTATGTACTTGCTTAATATTTATAACAAAGGAACTGATCTACTTGTATTTCTGAACTTTTTTTTATTAAAATTGAAGATGCTTAAATAAACCAAAAACAATTTCGAAATAAACCGTGTAGTGGGGCTTACGGATGTTTACTTGGCATGCCAATAAATTTCAACACAAGCACACTTCCTCTCCACTTGATGAGGTAACACCCTTTTCTCAGCCTGAAATCCCCCTCTAACCAAAATGTCATGCTGCTAATTTCCAAATGGATTAAATTAAAATTCACCCAAACCTTTTCTTTGCTATCGTTTCAGGTAAGTTTTTGGGATTTGGCAGCGAGGCGCTTGCGTTTAAATTTCCATTTAACTCAATGGGAACAATGGCCAACAATGCCAGCAACAACAACAATAACAACAACAATCGACTATGTAGTATGTCTGCCTTTTTGCTGTAAATTCAAAATCCGACAGTTGGCAGCAAAATGGAGCAACCAAAATGTCAACGCGTATCATTTGTCTCTCGACGGCAGCTGTAAGGTTCACGCTCAATCAACGCTAGCCAGATAGGCAGGACAGGACAGGACAGGACAGTGGAGAGGCAGAACGGGGCTAGTGGTGTGGCGGCAGGGGGTTGTGGAGTGAAGTGGAGAAACGTTTCTTGGCTGTGCATTTGCCATTTTGTGCTTCCGCTTATCGTTGCAATAGAAAAAAAAGAGGCAGCACGAAAAAAAAACAAAAATTTTGAAAAAAGAGAGAGCGAATGAATATAAAATGTTTGACTTGCCGACTTGGCTGCGTCCTCCGTCCTTTTTCAGCTCTTCTGGCTGGCCAAATGGCCTTTAAATTTATTAGAAAACCGAGCAAGAAAGCAAATATTTTTGTCGCAAGATTTATTATTAAAACAAAAGCGCGGCCAAGAACGTTTGCGTTTGCGATTGTGGTTGCCGCTTGCCACAATGATGGTGTTGGCTTAGTGGGTAGCGTAGCGAGGGGAGCGAGGGGGCAGCGACATAAGAAATGGGGAATACGTGAGCGTTGGCGTCGTTGTCATTGTCTGTACGTGACTTAGTGCCCAATAAAATTGCAGTCCAACATCCAAAACGAATACAGCAGCAGCAGCAAAAACAACAACAACAAAAAGGAGAATTATTACGTTTTAATTTTGTAGACGACAAAGGAAATAATTGAGATGATGACGGATGGGGTGGAGGGCAGAAATAGCAAATGCAAATTCAAAAAGCCAAGACAGGGCAGAAAAAACGCAAAAGTGTGTGACAGTTATGTCAGCAAACCAAACCGACCTTCCACTGATTCCAAAAGAACTATTCGGCCCACATGGTAAGTTGAAACTTAATTTTCAATTAGACTGTCATGTTTGTGAAATGATGTTCAGCTTGGTTTGTGAAGAAAAACCGCCAACCAACTACCACTGTTTGCATTATGAGAGTTGCAATTTAAACGTGTAATTGCCAATTTCATTTAGTTTTAAGATGCAGAAGTCAGTCAGTTGTTTAAAATTATGATGAAGCATGTATTCGAGTCTGCAATACTAACTAAATATATGAGGTCGCTAAAAGAGATATGATCAAGACTTAATGTTTCAAAGTAAATGACATTTCAATAATCCGTTAAATAAATATGTAGTTGATGAAATCATAATATTTAGTTTTTCGAAAATAATAATTCGAGGAAATATGTTTGTGCCTCGTAACTAACTTATAATCAAGAGATAATAAATATTTTTCAATTTTGGTTTTTGAAAATAATAATTCGATAATAATAATTTTGAGAAAATTACCCAAACAAGATACCATTAATATGCTTAAAGAACTGTGTATATAAGTTGCATTAATTTTCTTATGCACCAACTTCCTGAATGGCAAAATAAATCTGCAAAATTAAGCATATTTTCTGTCGAGAAAGGGACACAAATATTTGCATCTAAGGCTGCAAACTTAAATTAACAAACCGACATTGTACACATTTAAAAATGTACATACTTGTACTATTTGAAAATAAGTCAGTCACACATTTAGCTTTAGAATTGATACTCTGTGTCATACAAACTCATTGCAGGGTCAAATGATTCCAAGTTTTTTAATATAAACATTTAAAAATATAAAAAATCAATGTCAAAAATTTGAAGGATAATTTGCATTTGAAACAATTTTCGAATGAATAGGTGCAATTATAATTTGAATGTAAAATGAGGTTGTGGAACTGTGTTTAGTAGATCGAATGCAGCAACATTCTTTACATAATTTTTTTCACAATTTTTTTACGAACAAAAATTTATATTCATTTACAAGTAGGCCTGAAAAGTAATTTCCAAATAGGTGTTTTGTTGCAGAAAACCACATTTTCGTATAGAATTCGTATCGGTTTTAATAAAAGCAACATTGTCTTCAAAGCAAACTTGACAGAGTTCAACAGAGCTTTGCGCAAATTATTTGCCTGCCTCACTCGATTATACTCACTTACATCTTGCAAGTGTGTGCGTGAGATGAGCTGGCATGCAAATTTTTCGTTGCATAAGCGTAGGCGCGTTCACTAGCACACAAAAGTTTGCCAGCCAGAGAGGTCAAGAAGCTGGTCGCATAAATAGCTTGCGTTGCAAGAAATGTTCAACTTAAGAATATTATACTCGCATGCAGCTACTAATATGGCCAGCAGGTTGCTAGAAGTTGTCAGTTGGTTGCTGGATGCTGCCAACTGCCAGCAGTTGGCTGATTGACTGCCAGCAAGTTTCATTCTTTTCGTCATGCTAGTATGCCGGCAAACGAGCCGAATCGCAAAAGTTCCTACCAAAACTTTGTGGCACAAACTGCAAAATGCCCTTAAAGTATGCAACAAAAATGTCGAGCAACTGAAGCCGCTGAACAGCGACATGGAAACTGTTTACGACCATAAACGGCACTTGGCTATTGCTTTGGGGCGGCTGTTTAATTGCCAACAACAACAACAATAATAGCGCGCAACAAAAAACTCAGATTAACAAACACAACAACGACAACAACTACAATTACAATGTCAACGATGGCGCAAATAACGCTGAAAACAAAAAGACCATGGCCAGAGATAGCGAAAGTGTCGGAGATAATCGAAAGAGAAACAGCTATAGCCACAAAAGCTGGTTGCCAGAGGAAGAGGAAAAGTCGCAGTTCTGTGTGCGGCCATAAACGCGAGTATAAATTTCTGTCAGCTGAGAACGCAGAAATTGAAGAGGAGTGAGAGAGAGAGGGAGTGAGAGAGGAGGGAGGAGGGAGGAACGAGGAACGGAGAACATACGAGCACACAAAGTTATGTTCACTGCTTCGAAACTTTACATACTCTACAAAATGTGCAGCTATAGAGCATTTTTTAAACACTCAAAAACTTTTTAGTGCCATAACAAACATTTTAAATAGCGCGCAAGTTCTAAAATCATATCTTTGGACACATCATGTGAGGCTTATGCTTTTTTATGGGCTATACTCCCCCGAGTAGCAAATATTCAGTTTCGACGGGCCAGTCACATACGAGTTCAAACATTATGGTTCGCGTAGCCACTCTTCTGACATTTCTTCAACAAAATAGGACAATCCATTTGCACGAATCCATATAAGCGCTATCCAAATAAGCCAGCATGTACATCGTATTCCGACATTGAGTTTAACGAGTCTAAGCAAATAATATAAGAACTTGAATACTATCCAGCGATTCTTTTCTGTCCCCCTCAAATTTGTGATGTTTGGTGGACCAATAGAATCAGAAAATCTACGTTCTTTTGGACTGAGCAGTTAACTGAAGTATAAAGAAAAAAAGTTCTCATTTCCAGTATCAGTTTCGAGATTATTATTATTTTATATCGCAATTATTAAGATGTGACATTTCTTTTGATAATGATATTTTTTCAGGATTTATAATTTTATATCTATGTTACCATTGTGATTACACTTCATCATGAGAAAACAAATAACTGTTTTGTGTAGAGACACTATTTGAAATAAGCCTTTAGGAAGCGTCTGAAAATCTAATTGAATTAGTTTCACGATTCTGACTGCGTTAACCCCAGAACTTCAAAAACATTTAAGGGACGTAAAGCCTCAAGACTGGGTAGCAACATATTGTAACAATAAAACAATTTTGAAATACCGCCACGCAGCTGTTCGCTTATCTCCTTGCTGGTGTTGTTGCGCACAAATAATTGCCGTTCAAATACAACAACAATTGTCGGTATCGATACTTATTCGGATGATATATGGTCACACTAACGACAGTTTTGCCGCTACAGTATGCTGCAGCTGGCCGTAAATTTAACCTCAGCCCATGCGCTGGCTTATGCGATATTTGTTGTTGTTTTAATTTCGATTTTAATGTTGCATCATTTAATGTTGCAATTTCAAAGAGAACAAACTTTGTTTATATTTTAATCGTCGAAAAAATAATAGCTAAATCATTTCAGACTTGATTTTTAATCAGCTCATATCATTCAACAATTACCTCACAAAAGTTACTGTCCTGTTCTTATCCTAGAGCAAAGACTTATCCTAGTGGTGGTTGAAACAGGTTTGAACATTTATAAACAATCCTGTTCCTGAGTAAATCCTATTCCTAGAGCGCCTGCAATAATGATGCTGATTAATTAATTCAAATTATTAATACATTTCAGATATTTAAATAATAAATTGCCAAGTTAATATTATAAAAAATTTATTTTTGACAAGTTTCAAGAAAAGGCTTGTGGTTTAGAGAATCTTAGGATTCCAACAATTACCAGGAATGTACAGCCATGTATTAGTTTAGTGATTATTTCATTTATTTATTACATTTAATCAGGTGCAGGCTTTCCAAGTTTGTTGGAATGTTTTGTTTCGTTGTTGTTGTCATGCAATAATAATTCCTACTATCGATTGTGTGCATTACATGTGTTGTTCAACAAAGAAATCAATAACATTAAGTGTTGGAAACCGATTATAATTAAGCTCTTATAGACGATACTTAAAGGCCTAGTATTAATTGGCATACTTGAAAATACATTATGGCTAATTAACTTTAACTCTATTCATATTAATTAGCCATGACGTATTTTCCAATTCATATAACAATTCATATGTATGTGCTGTTTTTTCATGAACTCGTGTGTGGCATGCATTACTTGGAGGCAGCATCGTACGACTTCTTCAATATTAGTTGCATGTTGTGAACCAATATTTCCAGCTGTGATAGTATATTGTCATCCAGGGACTGCAGCATTTCGGGATCAATCTCGAAGAGCTTCTTCGGCTGCATCGAAATCACGCCATTCCGTGTTGGGATATTCACGTTGACGAATTTTTGGCGAATAGTCCTAGTTGAAGTCATGAGGGGGCTACCGGATTTTGAGAGCGCCAGTTCACCACGATTGGGCCAACGCAAGAAGGTTATTGGCCCGTCCTCGTCCTTTGAAGTAACTGCTGAGCGATCGTAGCTGAATGACCTTGGGTAAGCCTTCCTCTCCGCCTGTTCACCCGCCTGCCGTCTAGCCGCGATCTGCAGCTTTCCACAGGCAGAGCGGCTGCGCGGGTGACGATGTACGTCGATTGGCTTCAATGGTCCGTGTGCATGGAGTGCCCCCTTTGGGGACAGCTGGAAGCCTATGTTGGTGCTCAGCCAGCTGTCCACCGGCACACAGCAGGCTTAACAAAGTGATGCATCATTTAAAACCGCTCCCCCATTCACAAAACACTACTCACCATCATGATAGTGATGTGACGACGCGCCGTTCCTGTGGCCGTTGCCGTGAAAACCGAGCTCATAGGTATTGTTCCTTGGCTTCAAGTCCCTCAAGTGCATCAAATTGCTTTGAGAAGACATATTCTTACAAAGCTCAATAATATTCAGATCATAGTCTGCGACCCGTGGCATTTTCTTCTTTTTGATTCTTTTGTAATTTGTATTTAAAAGTTTTTATTCAAGTTTATTTGGAAGTAGCGCAATGGAAATGTGAATATGTCATGACAGGAAACCTATGACAAGTTTTTATTGGCGCTCTTTGTGAGCTTCGATTTTCTGAAAAATAAATCATCACAAATACATTCGTTTAACTTTTCAAATCGAAAACGTAAATCCCGTATTTCTTGTTCATCAAACCAATCATTTTTAATTTTTAAGCTAAAATGCAACTGGAAAGATTTCCCAGAATTACTTTGCAGAACAATTTATAGAGCATTACTATTTGATATAAGAAGGTTAAATAATAATGGCATTTAAATAAAGGCTGAGTACCTTCTAAAGATTTTCTCAGCATGTGAAATAAAATAAGTAGTCAGCACTTGATTCACTTTTTCCTATGCTGACAGTCTATATTTCAATGAATCCTCCATACATGATATTTCACAAACTATTCCTCCTTTATCTTTAAAATGCAATTGGAAAGTTTTGACCTGTTTTGTTTTTCTTTTATCATCATTATAGTTGAATCTCATCCAAAAACGAAATAGGGACGTGACTAAAATTCTGAAACAATAATTATATTCTTCAAACGAACTGTACTCGAATTGTTGTTAAATTTTTGTTGTCCTTACCAATAACATTCAATTTCAATACAATTGAAATTATAACATTTTTTCAATTAAAAACTTCTTGCCAATTTGTGATTGGAAGACTCTATTTCCTAACCATTAGACTCTTGCTTTGTACTTTGCTGATAACACGAAAAATAATTGTTTAAGTTTTGCATTGCGCTTTCCAAGTCGGTTTCATTCGAGTATGCAGATGCATTCGATGGCAAGCAGCATAACAAAATTGTAATAGACCCCATTAAAGTGTATGGGATAAAAAAAATAGCGAAAACAAAAGCAACATTTATTTTAACGAGCAAAACTTTTGCATAGCCACTGCGCGCTTTGAAAATCCCTAAAAGCCAATTTAGTTTCTTGTTTTTTATTTTTCTCTTACGCCAGCAACAACACCATTAGCACTTAAATACATGTATACTCTTATAGTATATAGTATATTGTAGACGAGCATATACTTGTATATATATATTGATGTCATAGATTTGTATTTTGTTGTTGTCGTTTCATTAACGCGTCTAATTCTCATTCATGCTCGTGCTTAAATGAGTGAATATATTTTACAGCTGCGGAGCGTGAAGCGAAACACGAAATACGAGGCATGCCGCACGTCGCACGAGTCCGACGGCTTGGTGGGCAACAAGCTCTGGCATTGGCTTTAGCCTCAACAGCTGTGCAGCAATGCGCTTAACGCAGCTGTCAATTCAATGCACACACACCCACACACCCACACACACACACACACACTGTCGCAAACATTATTTGTGCTTAGCTAATCTCGAAGCACGCTGCGCACGTAACGCCACCGCCACGCTCCCAATGTTGCAACAGGAGCGATCGGGCGAGGGCAGCGGCAGTGGCACGAGCAGGAACATGAGCAGGAGCAGCCTGTTAGCGCTTTCAGTCGACTTACATAAAGCCAAGAGTATGGTCGCTCTACTAGAGCTGCTAGAGCTACAGCTTATGCGAGCAATAAGCATGGACGCTCGAGATGGACGCGTGACAAACAAAATCAACCGAATAAAAGTCTTCCTATTTATAATTTTCATCAAATTCAAAAATTCAGTTCAAGACCTTTTTTTTTAGTTGTTAGGAAATATTCCATGATTTCCTTAATAGAGTGTTATGTTGAATATTTTTTTAGGCTCTTACATTTCACAGCAGAATATTGATTTGTATTAGGCCCTCCACTAGGTAGATATTATTAATTATTAATTATTATCTACTAGCCACCATAACGATATTTCAAATTTTATTTATTTTATTTTATCGAAAAACAGAGCTGACGATTTGAGGAAAAAAATCAAAACAATTCAGAACTTATTGAAAGAAAAACAAAGCCTTTTGAAATAACAAAAATGTCTAATAAGGAATTCGACTCGATGGGGGAATTTTATTTGCCAAACGGCCAGCTATGCCCTGATTTACAGCAAAGAGTAGTCAGAGACGTTATTAGACCTAAAAAAAAGCAAAGGAGGGGGAGGAAAAAAAATACAAGATAAAGAAGTATAATTAAATTAAAATATTTAAACAATACAAGATAAAATATAGTTTAAAGCTAAAGATGGAGAATCACTGACCCGTTGGGGGAAGCTTTATTAGCCAGTCCGGCAAGCTATTTCAGTTCTTAATAGGTATTTATCAATTAAAAACCAAATACTAACAAAAATGGCTGTCTTTTATTACAAAAATACGCTACATCTTATACCTTTAGTGATATAACATAACGTAGTGATTAGGAAAACCCTACACAAACCCAGATCTGCGAGAATATGCTTCCCAATGATTATTAAATAAGCTCGGCCTTCAAAGGCTATCTTATAAGATTTGAATTTTTCTCCTCATAAGTGAAGTGATCAAGATATCGACGTGTGTTCATTTATTGCATAGTATCCGATTGTATAATTGTATGCCTCCCAGTACGTTCGCCATTAGTTACATATATGTTCATATGCCCTCTTGTTATAGATTATCAATTGCTTTTTTTTAAATTAATACAATGCTATGAATTAATCGGAAGCTAGTACAGCATCCTCCTTCCTCCATCGCTCTTAATGATTCCAATACTCATTTACATTCACCTTTTTTGCATGCCCATGTTTACGTAAGCGGTCCATCTCTATTTGTTTCTGGTGCTGCTGCTGGCTCAGCTTCTGGTGCTGTATCTGCTGTCAAAATATAAAACGCAACAAATCCGCTGGCTGTTGGTTGCTCACCCTTGCCTCCCCCCAGGGCATAAGTACGTAAAGAAATTGCTGTGCAAAAGTTTTTAAACATTTTTTAGAAAATTTACGAGTACCATGGGGGAAGGCGGGCTGTCTATGCTTCAAGGCTCGCACATTGGCTTATTACAGCATTTTCACGCTTTCGGTTTTGTGGCGTTTGCTGCATGGTCACTCAACCAATGCCCACATGGCATAAACACACACTCACACACATTCACACACAGACATACAAAAAAAAAAAAAAAAAAAAAAAAAAAACGAAAAGGCTGTGGCCAAAACTGAAGCTAATCCCCCCTGACCTCGCGCGACTTCAAAAACATATTTATTGTAATTTCTTATGACTGGCGCCGCCTTTTGGCAATGTCACCATTTTACTCTTTTTTGTTGTTGTTGTGATTTCGTTTTCGTTTTTTAGGAAAGGAGCGCACGTTTGCGCGCATTAATTGAAATGTCACAGCAGCCCAGCGACGTGGATGTGCTGCCACGTGGCGTATGCGCAATGGGCGGCATTAAAGCTTTCGCACGCATTACGCGAAGGTTGCAACAATTTCAGGGCATGCATAGGTGCAACTCATTTGCATATCAGTGCACACAATGGAAATGGCGAAATATACATATATAGTACATACATACATATACGTATACATACACCATACGTATACTCGTTAGATCTCCCCAGTCATTAAAATGGCAAAGCGTTGCTTATACGACCCCTGGGTCTGCGTAGTTTTCACATAAATGTGCTAATGGCTTCGCACTCACCTATTATTGTACTGTTATTGTTGTTGTCTCATAAATTCAGCAGCAAGTTTAAATGAAAATAAATAAACATCTGCATGCCAACACTGCATATAAATTATTTTGAGTTCAGTTTTGCTGAGTACTATAATATACACATTTCAAACTCGGCAGCATGAACAGACTTTTTGGGGCGTTCGTTAGTGGTTTAGCTTAGTACTCCTATTTGCTTAATTAATGTGTTAGTCGGCTATCGCTATGATGAACTCTACGTGCAATGTTTTATGTTTGGTTCTAAACCAATTTTTACGTTTTAAGATATACCTGAGCTACGTTTCCCCAAACTCTGTGATAAAATGGCTTTCAATCTGTGCTGTTTTTTTTCCGCTAAAGTCCTTATTTCATAGTTTTCGAATACTCTTGAATATGCGCGTGGTTTTTTGCATTTTAAATTATTACTTCAAGTATATAAGCTGCTGAGTTTTGCTTTAAAAATTGGATTATCAAGCCCAATTAGAAAAAAGAATAATTTTAAATAACTGCCCGTAATTGTTGAAACTGATGAATGGCATTTAGTTATCTGCTACTTAAGGCTATATATTGACTTTATTTCATTTATTTATAAACCTTAGCGGTTTAATTATCAGGTTACTTTTAAGTTATTACGCTTGTCATTACATATTTATTTTCAAATTCGATTTAATTAAATACAAAATTACTAGAATGCATATAAATAATTTAGCTAAATTATCATAAAGCTATAGTATTTTTATTTATTTGTACTTTATTATTATTATTTATTATTCCTGTCAATACCTTAAGGTATTTTAAAATGTAAATACATTTCCACATTCGAAAACAAGTCTATTCAGGAATTGCTGTCGTTTCTCGCTTTTGGTAAAGCAGCTTAAGGAACCTCGAATGCCTAAATTAGCAAAATCTCAAAATCAAGCACTCCAATTAGTTAGTTAGCGTCTTTAGATTGGGGGCGCACACACACACACACACACACACACACATACACATACATATATGCCCCAATTACGCCTGTCACAGATATGCCCGTCAGCCTTGATCAGTTTCATTTATCAGTGATTGCAGACAAATGCAATTAATGGGATATGGTGTGCACATACTCGTACCCGTAGCTTGGCTCAAAGACGGAGTCTGCTACCAGGTTCTGGGGCGTGGGTTTTGGGCGTGGCCATGGCAACTTCCTCAACGGGCATAACAATGTGATTAAAATGCAATTTGCCGGCATTCACTTCAGCATAAGAAAAGGAAGAAAATGTGAAAAGTCAGACGCAGGCAGCGGGTACGCAAAGCCAAAGGCAGGCACATGTGGTTGTGTGTGTGCGTGTGTATGGAATGTTTTAATACCGCAATAAAAACAACAGCAGCACCAAC